CTTGAAGTTGTGAGCCAAAGCCAGGGTCCAGTGGATACCCTTCAAGTCTGTTTTGCAAAAGCTCCCTACTAAAAGCGGCCAGCCCTGAAAAGGGTTCCTTTTCGGACACGGCGACACATGGTGATACGCGCTGGGGCTTCAGCTGTGCCACGGAAATTTGGTCGCCAGGACCGATCAGAGGAGGAGCAGTTGGCTGTTGCCCAGTTGGACAATGGCAGGGTTGTTCTGCTTGGTGGCTTTTTCGGGTCTTTCCTATACGTTACTTCCTAAGGTTTGCCAAATTTGGGACCAGAGTCGATCTCCCCTTCTTCTTCTTTTTTTTGTTGGGGGGGGAGGGGGGGATGGGCAAAAGCTGACCCGCTCATTGAGCGTTCACCTCAAAGGCTTTTTGAGGGCCACGCAGCTCAGGATAGCAGCGAGGAGGAGGGGCAGCAGTGGGGCAACAACAGGCGCCATGGCTGTGGCTTTTGGTTGCGCGAGTTCCGCCCCATCACTTCGGTTCCTACAAAAGGATCCAGATGGCGGTTCCCTCCCAAATCGAGTGGCCCCTTAGTTTGCGGTTCAGACCTGCCCAATCTCAAGTTTGATGAAGCCCGTTCAGGGTCGAACTGGGCACTGTTTGGATTGGCCGAAAGGTATTCACCTTGCCGGGAACCCATCATAGGTTTGATTCCCCCTTCTTTTCAAGCATCGCTCTTTCCAACACCCGGCCATTTTCCCCGGAAAGAATGGGGAAGGTACCCCTAGAATAAGAATCCCCTGGGAGTGCAGCGCTGGTGCTGTCGAGATGTAAGGAGCTCCCCAAGAGGCAAAAAAAATGCGTTCAACGGGGGATTTGCTCCAAAAGAGCAGTTGGGGCTTTGTGGGATTTGAGTTTGGAATTGGTGAGCCATCCTTCTAAGTTAGCCCTTCGGGACTTCGGGTTCTGGGGGCCTACCGGTAGAGCCGGTGGGAAGAAGGTTCAAAATCACTGGAATGAGCGTTCTTGCTGTGTTTATCTTTCTCTGTCTCTCTTTAAGGGGGTTAGGGGGGAGGGAGGGAGGGGGAGGGCAAATAAGCCCATATTAAGCCCCTAACAAGGCCTTATTTGGGGCTTATTGGGGCTCCCTCCCCCCCCTCCCTCCCCCCAGCCTCCATGATCTCTGCATTGCTTCTCAACACTTGGCCGAACCGGCACACGCCCCAACAAGAACTGCACAAAACACCATTGCGCCCGTCAATTGTTGCAAGAATGCGGCTGCGACGGTCATCCAGGGTCACATGCAATCAAACGACCCTGCCAACATGCAAGCGAGCCAATGAGGGAAGCTATCCTGTCAGAGAATGGAACCAAGACCCTGGCAGAGATTGTGCGAGTTTTCACTAGCCTAGTCCACGAATGCGCAAGCCTTTCGCACATACGTGAAGAACTGAAACCCGCAGAGGGCAGTTTTCCAACACCCGCACGCATCATTCCCGTTCGTGCTTATTCTTCGCTTGTCTTTTGTCAGGGAGCTAGATTTCAATTAGTGTTCGCACCACAGTTGCTTTCCATTCATAGGGGGTGAGATTTGACCTGGGATCTAAACGAAGTTGAGCTGCCATAGCGGGTTTGGCAAAGAGGAAGGCAGGGGCAACTTCGGTGGCTGTTCAGGAGGGAGCCTCCAGCCGAAACAAATGGAAAGCTCCGAATTTTGAGGGCGTCAATCACGTCATGAATCTTCACGCCCACGCTCGCCGCTCCAGGATGAAGGGCGGTCGCCTCAAAGGCAAGGGCAAGGGCAGCGGCAGGGGGAAAGGTCCCGTGCAGGGGCAAACCGTCCAGGCTGGGATTGGCGAGGGGCGGGGGGGTGGGGGGCCAGGGCGGGCTTGGGAGGATGTTTGTTTGTAGGTTGGGAGGCCGAATGTTGGAAGGTTGGCGTGCAACTGAGCTCCAGGGATTGTGTGAGCTGTGTTTTCCCGTCTCCTTTTGGTCCAATTGAATTCAAGGTCCAAACAGATTGACATGTTTATAACTAGTTGCTTTGGGCAAGTGAGGGCATACGTGTCTTGCAGTGCCCGGCAATTGTATGTACGTGTTGAAACATAATTACATATCGATGTATCCATATATAATATAGTATCCAACGTATCCATTTATTATATCCAATTGTTTGTCAACTTGCCGATGTATCCAAGTAAATGTATGCATCGAATGGATGGATGGATGGACGGACGGACGGATGGATGGATGGATGCATGGATGGAGGCCGGGAAGGAGGGAGGGAGGGAGGGAGGGAGGGTGGGTGGGTGGGTGGATGGATGGATTTATGCATGGATGCATGGATGGATGGATGGATGGACGGAAGGATGACAGAATTAGTCAACCGATCCATCAGTCAGTCAATCAATCAAACAATCACTCAATCAGTCAGTCAATCAATCAATCAACGAATCAACCAATCAACCAAACAATCAATTAATCAAGCAATCAAGGAATCAAGCAATCAAGCAATCAAGCAATCAAGCAGTCGACCAAGCAAGACACAAATTCAAGCAAACTGGATACATGCATTGAAATGAGTTGTGCAGCTATCGGATCAGACAGCTCTTGCACGACTCGAGCAGTTGCCCAAGGCTGTGATGGACTTCCTTATCCCTGATTTGCTAAATGAAGACTCGTAAGCTTTGCTCCCGTAACCTTGCTACAATTCTTCCGGCCGATCATCAACTATGCCAAAGAGCAACTGTATCAATTGAGTGTTTGAACTTGCTGAGGATGACTGCCTCAGCCTAGTCTGAGGTGGTGGGTTGCACTTTATCACAATTAGAAGAATTGGCCATTCAAAGCATTAGCAGACCCTCAACAGAACCACCCAAACACTCTTCAAAATTAAGTCTGAACGGCGTCGTTGTGTTTCCCGTATACCGGGACGACTGCTTTGCCTTTGCAAGGAAACCTTTTTTTGTTGGCCGAACGGGGCGATGGGTCAAGCATTTTACAATTCCCCCTGTGGCTCCCTGTGAAAGGGACCAGGGTCGGGTTGCTGCCATCGAATTCCAATGGAAAATACCCTTGGTCCAAATAGACTGGGGCGCTTATTGGCAACCAAATTCGGGGACAAATGTTTTTGCCACCCCTGCAGAGCAAATGTGGTCCAAACAAAAAATCCCTTTGTCTTCGAGGTTGGTAGCACATGTTTTGCCCAACCCTGATCTCCGCCCAGGAACAGGTACAAGTTACAGCCAGGATTCGGCCACTTCCTTGCTTCAGACTGTGTTGTATTTCCCCCAGTTAGTGGGTGGGTTTGTAGAGGGAATCCATCACTACCGGACATACTTGTTTTTGTTTTCCAGGGGACTTAATGAAGCAAGTGGAAGGCAGGATTTCCGTGCTTCATCATGTCAGGCGAGAAGAAAGGAAGCCAACAAGGCGCAGGTGGCCAATCACAACCGCCGTGATGGTGCCATGCGCCACTCGAACGGAAATAAATGCGCTCGGTGCGTCGACCTTCGCCTCACCGGTTGTCTTTTTAGGAGGGGGGTTGCACTTTACGGATTCCATGTGGGTTCCCGAAAAAAACAAATCCAAAATGGTCCCTTCATTGTAGAGAAGCCTGTCCACGACCCACGGCCAGCAGATGGACCTCCAAAGAGGCGTCCCTCCAAAAGGAGATGTTTCCTCCAGAAGAAAGCAGGCTCCCTCCTTAGGTCATGTTGGGGTCCATGTTTGTCGCCAAAGCGAGCAGAGACATTGCTTCGCTTCGACGCGTGTAACCCAAGGCAAGATGGCTCGTGGCATGTGACGCCTCGAGGCCGGGGGGCGGGGGGGGGGGGGAGGCTTCGGGTAGTCGAAGCGGCAGCGGACGCCAGTTGAGCCAAGCGGTTGTGTGCTTGTTTGGAGCCTTGGTTTTCCCTGCAAACACCAACCTGAAAAGGGACCCTATGTGTTGTGATTATGTACTTGTTGTGCTTTCCCGGTGAGTCGTTGTTTCCCCTTTCTTTTTTTGGGGGGGGTTCCCCATTGAACATTGGCATCCGCAAGACGGGCTCCCGCGTACTGGGACCACTGGGCAACTATAGCAGGGGATGTTAAGCAGACATCAGGCACATCACTTTGGGATGGGCGGCCCTGCGAGGTCAGCTCCCGAAGATGGCGGATGCCTGACGTGAGGCTTAAGTCACCTTCAGCTTCAGAGAGCGGCTGTTCGGGGAGCTGTTTCGAACGCCTTAGCTCGTGGCTATCCCCCCTTACGCCTTGGGCTCGACATTCACGGGCGCTTCTTTTACACGACTTTTGGAGTGGAAGAGTTTGGGTCATCCTGACTGTTTACCGGGCAGACGCTCGAAGGTGACTGGACATGCAGGTCACTGGTCCCTTGCCCTTGGTTTGTAGGCTAAGTTTGATTCTGCGATCGCTAGCCATGTTGCTTCCGTTGGTTCCGTCGATGCTTCAGGGCTCATTATGGGCTGCTTCGCCTCTGCGGGATCCGGGTAGGTTCCCTGCCGGTAAACGCCGCCCAGCCGGACGTGCCGACGTCGTGTACAGATTTGGGGCAGATGGCGACCCCAGGCGCAGCCCGAAAGGCACAGTGGAGCTGTTTTGCTCGATGGTGATCTCTTTCCAATTGGGTATGAGCTCAAAATTAAACCACCAGGGACCGCAGGTTTTAGCCTATGTTTCCATTTACCAGGGTTACTATTTTGGGTACCTATTTTTTTGACCCATACCCCTTTGCTCAGAGCTCCAACACAAGTCTTTGACGGCTGCCTCGGCATGCCCGCTCGGACAGTAGACGCCGGCTTCGCGGCCGGCTGCTTCTCGCGAAGAAAAGCTTGGCATTTGGGTCAATGGGAACGTGGCCCAGAAAAGTTTCCAGTCCAACAGTTTGTGTTGCATTTGTCTCTTCAAGCTTGTTTCTGGAGCTATGCTATGCTCATGTGGCGCCTGTTTTGGGTCATGGTTGTTTCTGGAGCTGTCGTCTCGTCTCTCTGAATTCTCTCCAAGTCCCCGGATTTGGCTTCGGATCCAGCCAGCTGAGGCGCCGGCAGCTGGCTGCGGCGCTGCATGGGCTGCGCCTCCAGACCCAAAGCCTGGCCGCCGCGGCCGCGGCGAGCGCGGCGCTTTCGCCGGCGGCTTCGGTGCCAGGCTGAGATGGGGGGGGGGGGTCTGGAGGATTCTGGAGGCTTGGGGCTTGGGGTGGGGGGGTTCGGAGTCCATTTGTTTAAGAATATGTTTCATTTTCCCCCGTTGGTTTTCAAAGGAATCGATCACTAGTGGAAATGCTTAAGCAAATGGAGGGAGTGCGTGCGAAAACATGTCCTTTTTTGTCTCGTTGCAGGGACGGACCCCTTCCACAAGTGACGCGTCTAGAAGGAAAACAGCGAGGAGCCTGCCCCGAACCCTGACAGAAACCTCCCCTTGGCGGCCTTTGAACGATAGCTCAATCCAGTATTGGCGAAGACCCCATAGCGGTGCTGTTGGGAAATATGCGTGTTCCTGCACAATCATCCGGCAAAAACGGCCCAGTTATTGCCCTTTGGCCACAGAGCAAGCATCCAAGCGAGCAGCAGGGAATGAAGCGGACAAAGACACCATGCTTGATGGCAATCGAGCAGCTGGGAATGAAACATACCTGGACCTTCCAACATGTAAAATTAACGCCGTTTCCCAAAACAGCAATAATTTTTGCCGGTTGCTGAAAAAAACGCTCTTTCGGAGAAAAAGCGCTCGCCGTGAGTCCAGCTCGGAACCAGGAAAAAAAAAAACGCCGTTTCGCCGGCAAATTACGCCGTTTTGACGGCAAAGTACGCCGTTTTGCAATTTTGATTGATGCTAGAGTGTGCAAACACTGAAAACTGCCGGCAGGCGAAAATACTCGCCGTTGGATCAAAAAACATAGTTTTTGACAAAACAGCAATAATTTTGCACATGTTGGAAGGCCCAGGTATATAGCCTTGCAGCGGGCTTCTTCTTGGCCACTGGGCGTGTTCAGGAGAAGAAGCAGCCGTGGCAGCTTTGTGTCGGATTTGGCGTGTTTGCTTTTGGGAACCTGAAATGCATAGTTGGTGGTTTTGTGATTATAGTAGGTGTTTAAAAACGTTTTGCTTGCCATCCCGAAGCATAGTGTTTCAATTGACTTCAAATAAGATCCAAAGGCCAGGTTCGGCTCCCTGAAATTGAAGATGCGATACGTCCGAAATCCGTGGAGCGTCCTAAGTTGCACGCCGAATTCCTCACCGGGGGTGGACGGCAGGTGACAAGATCCAGAGTCAGGACGTCCTGGCAGCCCGCAGTGGCCTGAGCCGGCTGGACACCTTCGCTGGAATCCTGCAGGGGGCCGCATGTTTTGGCTCTTTCTCTTGAACGGGTAGACAACTCAAGCCTAATATTGGTGTTTTTCCCCAACAGCTGAAAGCTTTGGGGTCTCAGCCCAAATAGGCTTCGGGGTGGTCCGGTAAGGTTAAACGAAAGTTCCACGAGGGTTCCACCAGGGTTCCACCAGGGTTCCACGAGGTTCTGCGAGGGTGCGAGTAGTAAAAACAGCATCGCATGCTATTAGGGATATCACCTAAGCTTATTTGAGAATACCATTTTATTTAATGATTTTAAAGAACAAGCAATAGGAACACGACCATTTTGGGTCTCAAAAAAACAGCACACCAACGTGCACGAAGTGCAATGCAACAAAAGGACCGTCGATGCGCAAGATCTGAAGTCTTCGCTCGCTTGTCATGTACTGCTGAGCTGCCTCAATATAATTCGGGTTCCGTCAACATGCCTAGGGTCCATTTGGGAGGGAGGTGGGGAACTCCGCAGAAAGTGGGGCCCACCAATGTCCCACGTCCTTTGGAGACACTTTGTTTTTGTTTCTTGACCGTGGCTTACATGAGAGTTGCAATTTGCATTTTTTACCGCCCCAAGCAGCGCGTCTCAAAATCGCCCAAGGCAAGTCAGCCCAATGCTCTTCCCACTTGGGTGTGGCCCAGCTGGGAAAGCCAGCATTTGCCGGCCCCCCTTTTTTTGGACTATACTGCAATTTTTGTGAATTCCAAAGCCCGAAAAGGTGATTGCCATTGGCTGGGGTGAGTCCTAGCAAGCGAGGTTTCCGATGTTGTCCTCTTGGCTCAGATTGAGAACTTGATGTGAAATCGTTCTCCGAAATGTGAAGCCAACAGGTCCAGCTTCACCTTGTCAGTTGTTGGCCCCTTCCCCTTGAACAGCTAGCGGTTGGCGGACCCCGTCTCACTACTTTCCAGGTGGGGTGTTGCGTCGTCGTGGTGCTGAACCGCCTCTTAGGTTTGTTGCGGCGCAGCCTTTTGCGGGCCTTGCGGCGGCAGCAGGGGCCCTTCCTGCAACGGCTGCTGCTCTTCAGGCGCCATACCTGGATAGTTCAAGGTGGGTGGTTTTTTCCTCTAGTTTGGGCTAGCTGCAAGTGAGGCGCCGTGGTTTGGGTGGGCTATGCGGAGGGGAGGTATAGGCAATCCTTGAAGCCACTTATACACTTGGTACAGTCTAAATCTGCTTTACAGCTGAGCAAAGGATGCCACGAGTTGAATGGTGAGTTTTTGTTTTTCCCGGTCTGGTTTGGTCAGCTTCTTGGTTTGTTCCATGGCTCTTTGATCACGCGATCGGGTAACCTGCGAGGGGATCAAGACAGCTCCTTGCACCGGGCAGGCGAGGTAGCTACGTGCCTCTGGCTCACTTTCAGGGACACTCAGAGATAGGACCTATCCCCAGAAAGATGCCCTAAGAACCCTAAGAGCCTCGGAGCCTCTAAGAAGCTTCGAAGAGTTGGGGAGCCTTTCGAAGGCAAATTGCTGGAAGGCACTCCTGTTGACTCCATCGTGCAGCGTGCGGGAAGCGCATGTGTTAGGACCGTACCCCCAAGCAAGAACCATTCCACGCAGAACTTTTCCGTTGTGGGGTGCAAAAGATTAGCAAGTCATGCAGGGCTCTCACGTTTTTTCCGTGTGGGGATGCGTGGGGCGGGGGGGCATGTCGAAAGCAACTCGAGAAACAGAAGCCGTCAACAGGTGATAATGTCCTCCTCACGGCAATGGCTGCTGGCTTGGCACAGGAAGACGTAGTTACCCGCAATGTATTTGGTATGTTGCACGGGCACCTGCCTCGTTTGATAGGTTTTCCCATTTTGACCTGTTGCGTTTCCCATTCTGGTTCCAGAAGTCAAGGTTCCAAGACTGCAAGAGGTCCTTTGGGCAAGCTAGTGTGTGCACCCGGGTTCATCTGCAAATAGGCCTGCAAAATGGCTGGAGTTTCTCGAGTTGTCCAGGGTTCTGCGTCTGCCCCAGCAACACAAATTGTGTGCCAACGGACTGTGTCCTCTCCAAATTTGGTGTCATTGCTTTGAAACAAGCCCACTTCAAGGGGCGCGGCACTTGACCACTGTAAGTCCGTAAGTCCCCAAGCTCGGTTTCCAACCAGACACCTGATGTGCGCCGCAAGCATCTAGCTCCGTGTAGGCGCCAAAATCCGCGGGCGCCGCGGGGCTCTCGTGCCTCCGTGGCCTTCAAAAGCAGAGCCTCGCTGGCCCGCGCCAACGCCGACAGCTTTTCGGGCAGTCCGGGCAAGGCCTTCGTGTTGGGGGAGGCGGGTGGCTGGGGCGGGGGGGGGGGGTGGGGCGGAAGTTGGAAGCAACCAAGCCCTCCACATTAAAGGGAGCCCAAAGGATGTTGTTTCAACAATAGCCCGACCCTGGTGCGAGAGCAAAAATGGGACAAAAGAGGATGCCATGTTTGGACCACTTTCGGTAATGGCGCTTTCATTGAAGGAACAAGCGAGGGCGACGGCCCAATCAACAAAACCTTCCCTACGAGGTAGCTGCTTAGAGGGCATTGACAAGCAAGCCTCTTTTTTCGGGTTTCCGCTGCAGTGCGCGCTCATATGAGCAGGCTTAAAGCAGGCGGTCTCAAAGGGTCCAATCCTTTCCCCAAAAGCACCCGGAAACATCAACCGGCCGCCTTTCCCTTGCCCACTGCCACTTTGCGCCGGGTCAGCAAAATACCGTCTTCACTGGCGGGTTCCTGTTTTTATTGAACTCGCTCCTGAGTTGGTGGATCTAATGCTTTTGGGTTTGGACCATTTTAGTGGCGCACAACAAGTGACATGACACAAGTGTGCTTACTTTGTTTGGCCAATCCACCCTGGAAGTGAGAATAAGGGCGCGAGCAGCTCGTGGCTTGCCCTAGGACCTGGAAGCCGTGCGCCAGCCAATGCCAGTGCCTCCGTTGCAGCCAATGCCAGTGCCTCCGTTCTGGCAAAGCTCACCAATTCCGGGGGTTGAATGAGATCTCCATGGTAACAATCCTTTAATTGGGGATCCCTTGTTTCAGGTTTTGGAAGTATAGTAAAGTTTGCAGATCTATGCAAGTCGGGGTCTTTTGCCAAGAGGGACAACATCTTCCCAATCCTGATAGCTTCAATGTTTGTGGGGGGAGTGGCAAAATCAGAGCAGTTCTACTCAGTCGGCTGAGCGATGCTGGAGGTGCGAATTGCGCCAACCATGCTGTGAGTTTGGCTAAGGGCAGTTTGAAGCAACAGGTGTCCGGCAGTCACCTGCTGCTAATCAAGGATCATTTTTAGATTGGGGCAGGGCCTGTCATGAGGTTCGGGGCAGAAGAAAAACGGTTCCCTGTCAACAAAGCATGCTGTCTAGTGCAGATGTTGTAAAGCTTAGCGTTTCACTTATAGCAAGCAGGACAAACCAGGCTTGGAGCACGAAGAAGCAGTGACATGACATGAGGCACTGCCAAGTTCCACTCAGAGAGCGCGCCCAAAATTTCCGGCATGTGCAGGTGGCCCTGGCATGTGGTTTCATAAAGAGTTGTAGTAAGGCCTACATAAATCTGTATAGCTATGGCAGAACCAAACTTCACTGGCCCTCTCATCCCTTGTCTTATTACATGACACTGGGCCCCTTAAAGTGACATCCTCAGGAACCCCTCAAGATGCAACACTTTAATGACCCCAGTCAGACTCACTTCCCCAGAAAAATGGACTTTAAGCTTGGAAGGGTCATAGTGGCCAACAGAAAGTCCCAACTCTTTCTGACCAAACCCTGGATGTCAGCCATCCAGATCTCTGCCAGTGCTGGGTACTGAGGCCCCGCCTGCGCCTGCTCCAGCGCGAAAAGCCAAGGCCAAAGTCGCTCAGGTGGGCTGCGGCGATGCGATGCGCATTTGTTGACTTGCGGCTGGCGGATATCTTTTCGACCCATGCCATTCCTCAAGGCCTGAAATGATCTGACATACTCCAGAAAACTTTCTCAAATCCACTTGTTCTCCGACATAGCCATGCGGCTGGCGGTTGGCTTGGATGCGCAGGAGCTTTTTGCACGGAGTGCGTCAGTTAACGCAACACAGGGCGTCAGTTAAAGGAAGCCATCGAGGAAGCGAGTTCCTGGCAGGAGTTGGTTCGCACGCAAAGTCTGGCCCTTCCAGATGGCGGTGTTGCCTGCCATGGGATGAGATGGGTATTCCCTTTCAAGAGATCTTGGCGGTACTGTCCTTGCAGTCCGATTGCATGTTGATTGGCGACGGTCTCAGCTCGGCCTTCGGCTGCGTTCTTTTGCTGGATGGATCCTTGGTGGCCTTTGCAGCCTCTCTGGATGAGGATGACCGCAGGATGAACCACAGGACCTCCTGCATTTGTGCCCGGGACTTGGCCAAGACCTGCGAAGAGCTTTGGGAGAAGTATTCGCGCTTCATGAAGAGCCTGGCCAGCCCTTTGAGCGACTCCTGGAAGTTGCCCCAGCCGGATAAGGCCACAGACCACAGCTGAAGGTGTCCGTGATAGACAGCAGGTGAGGAGGGCGGGTCGGACTCGGGGCGGGGCTTCCGAACCTGCCGGCGGCAGCGTTCGCGCCAGTGATGCCACAGTGGCTGCAGGACGCCTTCGAAGAGATCAGGCCAAGCTGTGGTGCTCAGACCTCCAAAGGCCGTGGCCGCGGCAAAGGCTTTGGCAGCTATGCCAGCTACGTGTGGCCCGGGTCCGTGCCGCCGCTTTGCCAAAGCCTGTGCCATGCAAGAGAAGCTGCAGCAGTCGAGGGAGTTTTTGGAGCCCGTGTTGACGGCCTCCGAGGCGGAGCCACCGGACGATCTCGAACCTATGAGTTTTTGGATCTCCGAAAGTTCGGTCCGAAAGCACGTGGCCACCCTGCCAACCGACTCCAGGTCTTTAGCCTTAAGACCTGGATCGACTGCTCCGAATCATCCAGGACACGTACTTGAAAAGAGACACTGCGGATAATTCCGAACCACGATCCACGCGACGCACTAATAAAAAAAATGCTGCGAACCGCTGTGTCTCCCATATATATATATATATATATATGTCCGGTTCCCATTGTCGATTCCATTCCCCGGGATTAGATTCGATTCGCTCCTCGCTGTGAGGCCAAGCCGGATGAGACGCAAGCGGCTGAAGCGGCTGCCGCTTCGGCAAAGGGCGTATCAATCGACGTGGGTGGGAGAGAGGATCTGGGGGTAAAGCTTGTGGCACATGTTTTGTGGCACGCTGATAAATGGAGACCCTCGCCACAAGGAAGAGATGGCACGGGAGATCTGGGACACCAGTCAAGTTGATGCGTTTGGCAAGTTTCAATGGGGTCTGCTGCAAAAGACCAGCCGAAGCCAGGCTGCGCTGTCCTCAGATCCCCTAAAACATAACTTTTGCTGGGTTAGATGGAACACCGCACTGAACCTGAAATGAGGCTGTGAAGATCCAGCGTGCGGAGCGCCAGCGTGCAGAGCGCCAGCGCGCGGAGCGCGCGCTCCGTGCGCTCCCTGAAGCTTGGCGCGATTTTTCTTCGACGAGCCCGGGGGTGATTCGAAGCCAAATCGGGATGGATGGTTTTTAGCAAACAATGGTTTCAACCATGGTTTCTGAACGGTGGTGCGAAATGGATTTCGCAACCATCCACAGGATGGATGGTGATTGACAAGGGGTCATTCCTTGGTCCAATTCTTATTCCCGAACCAGCAAGTAGAAATGGAATTGGTGTTCTGGAGATCTCCATTTGTGGCAACCCATTTTTGCTTTCATGGGGAGGACTAGGGAAATAGAATTGGTCCCGGACCCGCCACCCCCCTCCCCCTTAAGGCAAGGGGCGGTATGTTTTTGCAATTTTTGCAGCTTCCCTTTTGGTTTGGTTTGGTGGTTTGGAGGTGTTCCAGTGGTTTTACCTTTGACAAGAACCAGGGGTTTCAAATCCTCACCAACTAAGGCTTACCTGATGCCTTCCTGAGCGAGATAAGTCTATAGCCCAAGAAAGGTGGGCCACGTTTGGAGACAGCTTCGCCTCAACATATCACTTTGCCACGCCTCCTGAATAGTTGATTCTCCTTTCAAGTTCAGGCGGATCTCCTTTTAATCTTGTTACTGGCCTTTCTGCTTTCTAACCAGCCTGCAGGTTGAGGAGCTAAGGATAGAACAGGTCGTTCCAAACGAAGGGACAGGATCTTCCCTGCCCACCCCAACATGAACGACGTTACTTTTACTCGCTCACATCCCAAAAGACGTTGATTTGCCCAAAGCAAGCTCGTCCAAGAGGGCGCGCGCATCCCACACCACAACGAACAACGAACTGATAGTTTGAACTGGGTCTGCCCAAGTAATTAGAATTCCAGTCCTGTTTTGTTTGTCAATTTTGTTTTCGTTGGTCTTCCTTTGTTCTGGGCTTGGTTAGATTTAGTGTAGTAGTGCCCATGTAAATGCCGGCCTTCAGACCTTCTGGTGTTCTTTTTTGGGTTAAGGCTCCCCCAAAATTGAACTTATTTCTGGGCCAAGGGGGCAAGTGAGACTCAGGGAAGCCAAAAAGAGGTTGGCCCAGCCAACTTTCACCTCAGCAGCACCCGGAACTCCCCCAACCATTGCTAGCTGGCTGGGGTGGCAACAGCCCATAGTCGGGTCGGTGAACCCTAGGTACAATTTGACCCTCCCAAAGACGCGTAGTGAAAGGGGCCCCCTAGACGTTCACCCGCAAGCACAAGAAATCTAGGAGGGGAAATCGGAAAGCTCCACTTGCACGTTTATGTCTTTCCCCACCCTGGGATGTTCCGAGGCTGAGAGCCACCTGCCTTCTTTGCCACCTGTACCCCAGGAAGTCGCTGCTGCACCTCGGCGAATCTGCGCTGCGTTTTGCTCACGGCGAAAGGGAAGCCAAGGGAGACCACCAATTCTTAGAGAGAGAGAGAGAGCCGATTCCCATGAGAAGCCTGCGGACCTGAATGGAGGAGCAAATTCGGTCTTGTTCACACAAGAATTTTTTCTCATTTGCCAAATGAAAGGGAGCAACATCCACTTAGCAGAACCTCAGGACAGGCTTGCTCTTTGGTTCGGCTTGTTGCTTTTCTGTTTTCATGTTTTGTTGGTAGGCCCCGCTCATCAACTGAGTAAAGAATTGTATAACCACCTGAAAGGATCCCTTTCCAACCAAGAAAGGTTGCATTCTGAAGGTGCATGCAGTTTTGGTGGGGGGTCCCTGAGGTGTTGGCCAGCGAACAAATCAGCTTCACCGGCTGATTTGGAGGATCCATGTACCGCAGATGGCTTTGGGATGCATTCAAGAAAGCTCGGAGGGGTCCGATCGAGCAGCCAAGGTTATTTTGTCATATTATGGGCATGCGCGGCAACAGGCTTGCAGTGACCCAAAACGGTCGTGTTCTTTGTGGTTTCTCTTGAAACCATGATGCAGATATCAACCAACACACATCTCCTGAAGGCAACCAGGAGTCGGCCTGGGAGCGTGCGAGGCGACCAAGATCCAGGCCCAGGTGCGGCTCCGCGCCCAGCGGCGGGACGCCGCCGCGCTCGCAGCTGCGAAGGCCAAGGAGGCGGGGCCGTTTTTGGATTTTTTCCCGCGCGTACATGGCGTGTGGTGGGGGAAAAAGGCGTGCGGATGCGTAAGGAAGGAGAGAGAGTTGCTATGCATTTTTTGTTTTTGGCTTGGTCAGAATGGCTGGTGCAACACGTAAAAACAGGAGGTGCAGGAACTTAGGCGCACTCGTCGGCAGGCTGAGTTTGACTCTGATCTTCAATTTTGAAAGAACACGGATACTGGCTCATACACACACAGCAAATCGCCAAGACATCAAGACGCCATGCCACCAAACGAAGGCTGCCCACCAATTTCAACCAACATACCTCAACCACATAGGATGCAACCCCCGCGCGCGCCTCTAACCCTCTCCCCCTGCCCGTTTCCTCTCAAGATGATGATGCTAATGGATGATATTGGATGATGATCATCATCCATGCCACGATAACATGCCCTGCATCCCACAGCTCCCAGTTGAAGTTCCAGGCTGAGACCTCGTCCCCGGCCTTGCAGCGGCGCTCGGCGCTGAAACTGGTGCGCTCCGAGCCAGCACAAGAGGCCAGGCCCTTCCAGTCATTCTAGTTTGCAGGCTTGTGCGTTTGGGATGGATATCGAGCCCTGCAGAAAATTCTCAGACCACGTCTAACTTTTCAAGAACCTCCATGTTGATGGGGTTGTTGGTTCCAACTGCGTACCATGAGTCAATGAGTTATTCAGCGTCTAACATTCATTAATGTGAGTTTGGGTACCGTTGTCACGCGAAATGATTTGATGTGGCTGCTGTTCGGGACGACTCGAAGGGGCTCAAGGCCTTGCAATGCTATTACCCTCCTGCGTGACACGCAGGCTCCCCAAGCTATCAAGCATGGGGACCAAGGCGCCTGAGGATGGTTCTTTGTAGGAGTCCTTCGCGTTTGGGCATGACACTCTGCCTTTTGTTTGGGACAGGTTTTGCTTCCAGACGGCTTTCCACCATGACCCAAACCCCACCCCCTTGTGCTTTGCCAAGAGGAAACAGACAATGCTCCACAACGAAAAAAGGCGGGTTGAGGCGTGTTCCCCCGCGCCCCCAAAGAAAAAAGCAAACAAACAAGAAGCAGCAAAGCAAAATGCAGCATCAACACAGTAAACGCTTCTAACTCATATAGCCCGACATTCACTGCTCATTCTCGGCAAGATTATCTTCATCTAACTTCAAAAAGTTCCTTCCTTTCGGGATGGTGTCCCACCCCAACCACCCACCCCACTAGAAAAGCAATGAAGAACAAGACCAACTCACACAGAATGTTATCACTTCTATGCGTGGGGGCGTCTTTTGATTTCCCTCTTTAGCATCTTGAACCTTTAAAGGTTAAATGTATTACCAAATCAGCACAACGCGTCAAACCGTAAGTCCTTTGTGCAGGGCGTCCTGTCGATTTGTCCAAAAGACAAAACTGTTTGATGCTTCCTGCCAGGCCGAGCCCTCTCCAAGCTTTACCCGGCGGCCTGCGCTGAAACTAACGCGCTCCACTCCAGAGGCAGGAATGGAATCAGCGTTGAAAGGTTTTGGGATTCATAAGTTTGGATCTTAAATGCATGGCTTTTAGCGGGCACGCAGTTGTGGAGAACCAGTGGCAACCAATTACTTCAATTAGTGTTCGGTCTATGGAAGTGGGAAGTGGGCAATTGCCACGCCACCAAAGCCGTCCATTTGTCCCCTTGTGGCACATTTTTAGTAAAGGTCTCAAAAATTCACCTTTTCTTTTGGGGTTTCTCTCAGGGCAACTGAGACACAGCTGTTGCACGAGCTCTGGGAGCAAATTTGATAGTGGGAGCCAACCAACTGCAGACCTTTGCGCCACTGAGAGGGAGATGCCTCGGCAAAAAGCCATTTCCCCTCCAATAAGCCAACCTCAATTTCCCATGTCCAAACAAAGTTATCGGTACTGTGCAAGGTGGTTGGGGGTGCTGCCTGGGATATTGGGTATGGGTCAAAATTACACCACCAGGAATTGGACCGCAGGTTGAAATGTCCGTGGCAAGCCATTTACCAAAGCAAGCCATTTTGGGGTTAACCTGTTTTTGAGCCACAGCCATATCTTTCCTTTGGTTGTGGCGCCATCCGAGATCCCAAGCCCCGCCGGCGCCCGCATGCCGCAGGCGACGCAGCCCCGAGCTGCGGCGCCGGTGCGGCGGATATCGAACGCTCGCGCGCGAGGGTCGCTGGCCAAGAGCCGCTCGGTTGGGTCAGCTGACGTTTGCAACTTGCAAAGCAAAAACGTGTTTTAAAAAAAAAAGGTAACTCAAGAACAGAGGCATGAAACAAAGACTGACTTCCTGACCGTTTCGATAGGCAGGGAAGGAGAAATGAAATACCCCCCATAAACTATGTTTTGTGGTTTCCTTGGGGATCACCGGGATCGTTCCCACACTCCCAGATCCCCTGTTGATTCCCTACTGAGAACCAGCAAGTCAAGCGCAAGTGGGATGGTTTTTACATGTTTTTACTATAAGTACCCTGTCCTCGAACATGCAAAACACCAGAAGGCTCCTGGAGGAAAATTGTGTTGGATCCAGTCAGGTCCCATGCGGATGGGAGGGTGCTAGAGGGCCTTTCGAGTTGAACATGGTCCACGCCACCCCCTTGTGTCAGGTTCCCTACAGTTGGGGCCATTGCAATTCCTAAATTTCTAAATTTCTATTTTGGTTTAGCTACTTTTGCTTGCCCACAGAAAGGGAATCTTTTTGCTTGCCCACAGAAAGGGAATGTGCCGTCTACTTTCACCCAGGCGCAGCAAGTTACGTTATTTGGACTGTGGTTCTCATGGCTTCGAGGAAGTGGTTTTATCCAGAATGCAGCGACATTCCTTTTCGGATTTGGGAATGAAGGGTGCGCAAAGGCGACCTCTCAAATCAAGCTGCCCAGACGAAGGTGCTGTTGCGGGAGTTCCTAGGTAGAGCTCTATGAGGCGCAACAGACTCGACCCCTTGGGAGCTGAGGCCCCGATGCCGCGGTGCAGGACATGGGATCGGTGTAAGGGGAGGCCTGTGAAACGGAAGTTGAGCCCTGGGCAGTTCCCAAGTTTTGTGGGAGCATCTTCGTCACGCACAACACTGGCCTTTCAATCGTTTCAATAGGCATGACTGGCGGTTTTCGCGCGTGCACACGTGCGCGCGCGCGGCTAGGGAGGCTGGCACGAAGCATCGGTGCTGGCAGGATGAGCCCACCGCAGAAGAGGTGCCGGATTTCAGACTCGAGGGTGAACCGCATGGGCTGGTTGTCATGCACCAGCTCTCTCGAAATGCTTTTCTACGCCCCCCACCAGCAGAGCAACATGGGGTGTATACATTTTTGGCCCAGCATTAGTAAACCACTCCCATTAACTGGCGGGTGTTCCCTCCAACAGTCATGAGTCCCCACTGACAGGGGACACCGCCCGATCAAACAAACCAGGAGTTTAGTCATCGGGGTCGTCATTAACAGCCATGAAGGTTCCGTGGGAATGTCAGTACAACTTCCATTTGTCTCCACTTGTAGAGGCTCCCTTTGAAGCGGATCTGGGCATTTTTCTGGGGGGGCGAGGGGGGTCCTTGCATTCCATAACGTGACGCGGGACAAAATGCAGGTCCAGAAGGCTTTGCACCATTCCGGCACACCTTCAGCTCAGACACGAGGGTGTTTCCAAAAATCGGACCCCTAACTGGCAGGACTCGCCTTTGTTTTGGCTTCCCACTGTGCATCATCCGAAAGCAGGTTCCCATTTTAGTTTGCAAAGCCAGCATTAGAGGGCCACCTTAAGCATTCCAATGCGCCCTATTAAAATTCAGACCGCTGCAAGTTAGTTGGTTTTCTGGTTTGTTCTCCTCTGAAACCCCATCAAAAGCTCCGCCTCAACTTCAGGACCTCGCATCCAAGCTAATCCAGGCCTCCAAGAAAGCAAACAGCTTACCCTCGCGTTTTGGCCTAAGTTCTAGGGTTGACTGCGTCAGAAGACTTGAAATTAGCTCATGTCGGAAAAAAAAAAACACGTGATCTAGTATAGATGCTTGAACACAATGAACCCTAGACACCTCAAAGGCCAAGCCTTGCGGTTTGCGTGTTTTAGGCACATTCAACCCTAGGCACCACGGCCGGGTTGCGGCACGCCCGTTTTTCAATTCAGCGCTGGGCCACCTGCTCCAACGGGGAAGAATCCAAAGCCCAAAGCCGCAGAGCCAAGAACCACCTCGGCACCCATGGGTTTGTCTCAAAACAGGGGGGCACTCCTAAAATTCGGTGGTGTTCCTTGGAGTCCTTTCAACTGACCAAGAACCAAAGGCCAAGCTTCCTTGGCAACACAAAATGCCGAAAGCCGAATGTCAGCCATCCAGGCCAGCCTTGGACACTTGCCTCCCGTGCCGAAGGAAGTGAAGGCGGTCAGAGCCTCAGGAAAGCAGCCAAAAGGGTTGCCTGTCTCTTTTTTGGAGTCGGACCCCCAAATTTTGGTGGCTTTCCTGTTGGCTTTCCTTTAAAACCAACCAACAGAGGTGTTTGTTGTTCCCCAAAAAAGACAAACCAAAATGGGACGGGATGGGTGTGTTTCAAGCATGGAGGTTCTCGCCTTCTGCCAATGGAATTGGTGAACACTTGTGGCCGGATAATGGAGTTTTTGGGTATGGATATTGGGGTGAGGCCATACCATTGACATAGTTAAGGGGTGTATACTGCCTTGCTGACGTGAGCATGCCATTGAAACGCTCACACTTATTATTGTGTTGTTAAAAAAGGAGCATGCATTCCTTGTTTCGCGGCAGCTGGGACCAAACATGCCGCCCAGACGCCCGTCTGGGGAAAACGTCAGCTCGTGCCCTACATGGGGGCAGGCGATTTCCGATGTTCGTGATTTGTGGGGGTTTTACCATGTCGTCCCATTTCGCACCGCCTAAGGAGCCATGGTTGAAAACATTGTTCCACTGTATGAACTGAACCACCGCATGTGGCCAACACCCCTCTAGCAATCTTTGATTGAGCGGCAGCAAGATAAGAAGCAATGTTTCTCGCAGTAACTCTCAGTAGGGTTTCCAGCCAAAAAGCTAGGGGTAGCTGGAATCCGCTAGGCACTTTGGGCTTAGATGTCAGGCCACCTCATTTGGCTTTGGAATCTCCGGTTCTGATGGGATGGTACGCCTCCGATGGTACACCACACCTCCGCACCGAACCATCCAACGGATCTGGTGGCTCTGAACCAACCAAGCGGCAAGCTGAGAGGAAGCGACGGCCAAACCAGGCGGTGAAGATCCAAGCGGCGGTCCGCGGCCGCCAAACCCGGCGCCGCTTGGCGAAGGCCTGGAAACCGCCTGGAAACGAAACCGATGCGCCCGGTGAGTCGCCTGAATTTGTTTTTGCCAAGTTGGTGGTTTCTCCAACTGCCGGTTTCCATCAATAGTTTTTTTTCCTCGCCCGGTCAGTCGCCCGGTGTTTTCAAGAAAGTCTTTAGGACATTTGTAAATGGTTGTTGCAGGTTGGTGGGACATATTCCTTGGGTCAAAGAGAATAGCACAATTTCCAGCCAAGGGGGTAGACTATTATACATTTTCAGGGCCAATGCGGCCCTCGGTGTTTTCAGGGAGAAGCAGGTGAGCCCGCCGAATCCTTTCAGGACGGAAAGGGGGATGTTGAAACCTAGCTGGGGAGATGTTTGGATATTGCGATGTTTGCCTCATTCCCTGCCTGCTATAATTCCTGCTATAATTGCTACCGTGCAAGGTGGCTTTGCAGGGCTTCACAGTTTTCTCAGGCAGTCTTACTTGAAAGCTGCAAGTTTGTGCCTTGAGTGAGCGTGCCTCGCTGCGCCTCGTGTTATCAGCGAACCCCTTCGTGAAGTGATCTGCTTGATCAGTAGCTTAAGCATGTTGCGTATTTTCCCTTGTTGGTTTCAATGTGAATCTATCACTACTGGAAAATACTGCAAACATATATTTTCCCGGGGGGCTTAATTAAGCAACTGGAAGGTAGCAACTGGAAGGTAGCTTTGCCCCAAGCGGGGCGCTGCAGCGCCAGGCGCAGAGGCAGCGGCGGCAGCCATTCATGGCGCCAGCGCCGGCACCTGCGGCGCCGGCGCGCTCGCGCGCCAGTACGCGGAGCCGCGCGAGCCGCAGCTCCAGTGGCCTCTTCGGCTACGAGGCGGGGCGTCGCAGGAAACCTCGGCTGGATTGAGTTGCTTGGGCTTCTTGATTTGTTGTGGAGGCGACGGTTTGGTTCCTGCTGAACATTTAGCGGCGCTTTCGACTCAGCATCAAGCCCAAAAAGCAATCAGGGGAGGGCAACCCCGTCATGTCAAGAATGCTGGAGGCAAAGCCTGGTCACCTACTATTTGGATCCACAAAAACTCAGGCAGATATTTGCTATGTCCTAAAATGGTTTGAATGTGATTCCACCCATTTGAGCGCGACATAGCCCATGGTTTTCAACTTGCCCAAAAGGAAACCAACAGGCCTGGGGGGGAATTGTGTCTGATTCTTCCAGACTCACTATGCAGCGTTCTTGACCTCAGGAGGGCGAGGAGGAAGAACAGCTCGAAGATGACCAGGAGCTTGAGGTGGATGAGGCGTGTGCGCGCCCAATTCGCCCAATGAAGCGTTTTGCTCGCGAATGGGGGAAGCGTAAGCAAATGCCGAAGGGGGTAAAATTGGTGCGTGGATTTGGGGCGGGAAAGGAGGCCTACTTTGGATCTTGTTTGGGGTGAGGTTTGCTGTGTAATCACCGTGTGCCCGTGCAGGTGTTGTTTTGCACGACCTTAAGCCTTTGTCGGTTGACACAAAAGGAGACCATATCCAGGCAGAGCCCCCGTCGTCCATTGGCAGCGCCCAGTGTCGGTGTTGTATGTTCCTTTTTGTTGCCTTCAAGCTCAACCGACATCAAGCGACAAACGTATTCACCAGAATCATCGCGACCTTGCAAAGCTACATGCTTATGATACTTATGCCCTGGAAGGTGCAGGGCAAGCGACACTACATAGTACAGGGCCATGTTGGGCCAACCACCTGTTTTAACATTGTGAGCTACCATTGTGTCAACCTCATCCTTTGGTTCCCTCTAATGCTCTAAAAGGCTTCACCAAATTTCGCACCCTGGTGGAGACTGCAAGCGGTAGGTGCCGCGGCCGACACTGCTGGGGCCGAGAGAGACGGAATGAGTGGGGCCAAAGTGCCCCGTGGCATCTCAATCGGATGTCGCGCAAGCGCCGAACAGCCGCTTTGCGCGATCGCAGCTGCTGGGCGGTTGCCAGGACCGGCAAAGATCCGGTGATCCAAAAGACCTGCTGTCGGGCCCGTTGGCTTACAAGCTTGGCTTGGTTTCACCGTGGGGGCAAAAGAAACACCATTGGAATGTGGATGCTTCTGTGCAATACATTTTCACATCTGAAATCAGGTCCTTAATCCTCATGTCGCATGGTAGTGATTGTCCTTGTGGTAGGGGGTCCCGGCACGGCTTACAAGTTTGTGGGAAATCCCGCCATCTTGAAAAGCCCAGATCTAGGTTCCTTCGAATGGGGGCACATAGTTTCTTTGGTGCATTTTGCTTGGATGTTAGGACTTTGGCTTTTTGCCAAGTAATAGGCTTCCCATTAAACCAATTAGAGTTAAACTTTTAGCAGGGGAGCAGCAGGCGCATCCGAGGTGTTGCTTTTGTCCACTGGGTTCTGAGGTCAGCAGCTGCAGCACGAGCTGGAAGAGCTCCAGCAGAAGTGCGCTGGCCTTGGGTCGGTACGGCTCAAGGAGCCACACGGTTTTGAAGAATCACAGGGCTCCTTAAAAGAAATTCATGTCGCAACCATTTGAATCAAGTCGCTGTTTCCACCCAAATAAATGGAAACCACCCTTTACATGGCGATGCAAAGGTGATGCTCAGGTGTTGTCATGTAAGGATCCAAGAATCATGGATTGAGCATGCTTGACCTCCTTGCAAGTGCTGGGGCCGATATGACCCTCAGTCGCGCCCGTTTGCGTGGCAAGTGGGCTGACACTGTGTGTACTCGCTTTTTCTACTAGCGCTTGCTTGCTCGTGTCGTTGGAAGCACCGGGGCGAGGAGTCACTGCCGCGTTTACCACAAGTGACAATACTTCTGCTGATCTCAGTTGTTGATCAAACCGTGAACGGACTTAACAACGGCGTTGAAAACCGGCAATCCCTGCAACAATCATTTCTCCTTTCAATACTTAAGTAGCGCAATGGCGCTTGGGGTCAACAAAGGCCAAATGCCAGCGCCCACATGGGGCCGGTTTTGGCCGCTTTGCGAGCTTTCGACCTTCAGTTTGCTTTGTGGCTTCGGCGGCGGTGGCGTGCCACCTGCAAACCGCAGCAGCACTTGTGGGTTGTTTGGGGGTAAATATACATATGTGTATATACATATATATATACAGGTATATTAATATATATATATATATATGTTTATATGTATATATATATATATTTATATATGTATATACATATATATGCATATATATTTGTATACAATATAGTATATATATATAGCCGCTTTGTCGTTTCTCTTGCGGCGCCTACCTTTTTAAGTAAAGCGGTTGCCTTTCCAACCAGCCAAAATCAATCATAGTAACAGCATGCCCAGAGGGCAATAGCCAGACGGTAGACAGTGCATCCTTTTGCATCTCTTGACCGCCGCCTTGATGGGATAACCATCCGCTGCTTCCGTGCAGGCAGGCTGAGGCTAAGGAAACTTCAAGGGCTCGTTCTGGGTTTATGTCAGTGGCATCATGATTGTCGAAAATGGTGGGTTGAAGGAACCACCGGGAACAACGCCAGTTTGAGAATTCCTCAAATTGTTTGTTTTGTGGGACTCAATTGTTCCAAGATGTTTCAACCAGACCTTCCCCGATTTACGCGGGGAAGCAAACGCGCCTTGTTTTGCACATCAGTGAGTCATGAGAACATAGTTGTTCAAGCCACTGTTGACCTTGGGCGCGCAGCTTTTTTGACGCCCTTTCCTCCCTTGCTGGGGGCTTCCTGATTTCTTGTCTGGGAATTGTAGATACTTGCATCACTTGTAGCGATCTGTTGGCTTTCACTTGAGTCCATGTTGAGGGTCCCAAACTAGTTAACCCTCGATTCCGAGGTCCTTTGTCACTTCTGGTTGATCCTCAAAATATTGCAAGTAAGCCAGCCCCAAACGACACATTACATCATGTTGCTTTGTAGGGATCCCATTGCGCCACGACAAACCCATTGCGAAGGTTCCGTTTGTAGGGATCCTTTGAATGAGTTGAATCCCAAACAGCGTCGAGTCTCCTTTGGTTTGGTTGCCTTTGGGGACTCAACCAGAACAGAGCTCAAAATGAATACTGGGGTGGCGGACACGTTTTTGGAATTAGGGGAAGGGGTCTCCTTTGGGGCTGATCATGTCCCACCTGGAATCCAAAACCCGGCCATTTTTTTTGTAGGCTCGCTGTTGGGGTCCTTTGCCGTTTGCCCGGCCTTTGCTTGGCTTAGGATCCTCGGGGCGTGGTCCAGAAAAAAGCTCCGAGGAGTAAAAACGTTATAATCCTTATTCGGGGTTTACCGTGGGTAAGGCAAAGGGACAGGGTATTTTCCTGGTTCGATAGGCAAGGAATGAGAAATGGAATGACCCCTCTAAAAAGAAATGTACGGCTTCCTTTCAGGGAGGTTCATTCCCAACACCTGGGCCATGCCCTACTCATCGCAGCAAAATTGGAGAACCCTACGGTCGCCGGCCCAAGCCGCTGCTTTTGGCACGATGGGCTGAGACAGCGTGACTCGCGCCGGAGCCTCGGACACGAGCCGAGTTCAAAAATCGGGGCGCGAGTGCGGTTGTGGTTGAAACGGGGGGTTTAGCTTGACTAGGTCCCCCAGTAGTGCCCTTGTACCAACTTTTTGGGGGGAGGGTTCCGCTACTAAAGCGGACTACAGAAAAAAAAGAGGTACCCTTATTCTAACCTCTCTACTGGAGGACCTAGTTGACCCAGGGAAGAGTGCCAATGTACCGTACGCCTTCGCAAAGAGCCGCAGGCTGCATGCCGCCCGACAGGCGGAAGTTCGTCGCGCGCGTCCGTGATTGTTTTTTGTTCGGTATCACTTTTCGACAGAAGGCTGCGGCCTCTTTCAATATCCGTGGGGGGTGGGGAATAGAAAGCCAACATCACGAGATGCCCGAAACTATTTAGCCCCCTACATTGCCTTTTGAGCATGGCCGGGTCACTTTTTGAATGGAATCTTTAGCATGGTCGGGTTGAGGCATGCAAAAAAGGGCTGGTTCTTGGAAGTCTCCATTCACAACCATGTTTGTCCAGCACGCCCAACAAAATCCCATGATTCGAGATGACAATTTCACATGTTCTTCACGGTTCTTGGCATTTGTTTTTAGATTGTTGGGTTTTGGTTCTGTTTATTTTTAGCAGTGTTTTTTGCAACCATACCAAGGGTTGTGAAGTGTTTGAGGGATGAGGTGTACGGCCTGTCTTCTGATTGGTCTATCCCATGCCTTGCTCAGCCAAAGAATCGCGAATGACATATGAGTGAGAGGCTGTATAGCACGCAGGGCATGTTAGTGGATTCCAATGACAAGCAATGACATATAGGGTGGACAGCCATTATGAGATTCCGGGTATCCTGAGCTTGGACGTGAGTTGGCAGGTGCCGAGGTCATTTGGAAGGTGCTTGTGAAGATCGGGTTGATGTCAGCCTTGCTCTTGGGAATCCGGGTACCGAACCCGTTTGGGGGGCCCCTTGAAAAGGAGAATTTGGTCCAAACCAGGACCCCAACACGCCAGGGTCCATGGGAGGGTACCCGGGTACCCCAAAAAATGCACGGTTTTAATAGGACACTAAAAGGAACCCCCCAAAAGAATCAAAGCACATGGACCTGGAAAGGTTGGCACTTGAAGCACCCCTTGATTCGTGCATCTGCACTGTTGCACCCCTTTTTTGGACACCCAGCCGTTTTTTGGCTAGGCATTGGATCGCTTTTTTCCCGTGCAGTGGGCTCCAATCAAAGGACTAGAGTGGTTGGATTGATTCCCGCAATCTGCTTCCGCAGCCTAGTGGCGCAAGTGGCGTTTCACTGTGCTCGGATTGCCGCAATGCCACTACGTTTCGACGGCGCCTTGGCCCCACTTGTGGTTTTTCACGCAGGCCCATGGAGGGTGCTTGAAGCCCTAGCTGAGTAGCTGCCTAGATGTGTTTCTTTCTTCTGTTGAGTGTGTGTGTGTGTGTTGAAGTGTTTGCACTTCCTGAGTTCCTGGACTTTATGTACTTTTTGAGAAGACCATTTAAGTGCTAGACAACATAGTGACAACATGTTTGGACGTGTCTTAGGCCATCCACTCGGGAAGTGAGAGTTTGTGTTTGCAATTGCGGTTGCACATTGGTGTTAAGTTATGTTTCGTGGCATGATAATTCCTTGCTTGGGCCTGTGTGATAAAGAAACACACGTGGAACCCACCAGAAGGCCCCTTTCAGGGTACAATTGCAAACTGCAAAGCCCTTTTTGTGCAGGGCATTTAGAACCTTCCATTCACCTAACAGCTTTTTGTATTTTAAACCTGGTGGTTTTAAGGAATCTATCACTACTGGAAATATTGCTATCTTTGTCCAGGGGACTTAAGCAAATGGAAGGCACCAATGATGGAACCGCCCGTGACACCGGGGTGCGTGAATATTTTTTTGGGGGCAACCCACAGGAAACCAACGGCAAAAGCGGTCTTGGCTTTGAGTCTCAAGCGCTTGCCCCGGTCTGTTCTTTTCAACCATCGTTCTTTCCAAAAACCGGTCGTTTTCAGTTTTCCCTCGGTTTCCGAGGTTTTCTAGAAAGGATCCCTGGGTTCAGAATGGAAATGGAAGGTACCCCTAGATTGCCAGCCCCGAGGACCGGAGGAGCTCCACAGAGCTATGATGCTGACTCCCGATGAGGAGATGCACCGGGTGCAGAGCGAAGGCCCATGGCTGCGGTGGTTTTCCGAGCGAATCAAACGAAGCCTTTGGGTCGGCTGTTCCATTTGTCAAGATCCCAGGTCAAGCTGTTGGTTCCGGGTCAGGCAAGTCACCCGTTGCACGTGTTTTGTAAAAATCATTTTGGACTCGTGGCTCGCGCAGGTTGGGGTGACAAGAAGCCGCAGTATTTGATCTTGCTCGGATCCAACAAACTCCGAGAAATGTCAACCTACGACGATTTCTATCTACCCCTACTGTGGACAAACTTATGCACCGCCTAAGAAACACGGAATGATGGTTCCCCCTGTAAATGTCTAACCAACGATGGTTTCAACCATGGTTTCTTAGGTGGTGCGAAACGGATTTGGGTCTTTTCTTTGGTGCATTTTGCTTGGATGTTAGGACTTTAACTTTTTGCCCAACTAATGGGTTTTCCATTAAACCGCTAAAAGTTAAACTTTAGCTGAGGAGCAGAAAGCAACCGAGTTTGGGGGAAAATTCTCGTATGGCCAAGATCTCCAGTTCTATGGGGTATCCGAGGCGACGAGGACTTCCCCTCTCCCCTGCCCTGGCGTCATGCGTGGCGTGCGCTGGCGCTCTTGGCGTTTATGGGGACCGTCGGGGTGGTCCACTCACGGTGGGCTGGAAGCAGCGCGGCACAGGACGGGGCGGACATCCCGGTGAGCCGCAAGGGACGAGAGATCACTCAAAGGAAGTCAAGTGTGTATGGATGAAAATTACACCAGGAATGCGACCGCAGGTTTTGGTCCATGTTTCCACTCACCAAAGTCTCATTTTGGGTGCCTATTTTGACCCACAGCCAAATGGGGATTGGCGCGGAGAGGGAGGGACAGAGAGAGTTGTTCAACTTGTCACAAGGAGAATTGGATCTAAGCCCCGCAACCCCGCCCATGCCTATGAGGGCCCCTTGTTTGAAGGCTCTCTTTTCCGGGGATTCTTGTTTTCAGGCCAATACAATATAGACAAATCCGGTGATTTGTAGAAAGGCTGTTGGGAAGTGAGTGGGTGATTCTGGAACATGGCGCAATCATGGCACTAGCCAACTGAGAAATGCAAATTTCCTCATTCCTGTGTTTGTTTGCTTCTGCCCAGATGTTGAGGCAAGGAAGGCCGTCTTCCGAGACTGCCTGGTGCTTCCACAGGACAAGACAGGCCAACACGCCGCTCCATTTCCGGTCACGGACAGCCTGCCAGCTTGGGGTGTACCAGGGTTCATTTCCAAATCTAGAAAACGACTTGGACGCGTTTGTCGATTCCGCAAACTGCTCTCCTTGGTTGGTCCTTGTTTCAACCGTTTTGCAAATGCCGGGGACCTGCCAAAGGCGGCATCCAAGTACCTGAGCCGTGGCCAGAAATAGCGATGGACAGGGCAGAATTCTAGTCGGGGTCGCCTTGGGGCTGAAACCACCATCAAAGCAAGGGGGTTAATATATCGAGCATGGTTTACCTGAGCTTCATCATCCAAACTGGGTCAATCCTTCTTTTGTGAGCTCGTCGGGCTCAGGTGGGTTGCGCAAAAAGGAACATCCCGGCCATTCTTGTAGCTGTAGGCTCGGGCTCGGGGGGGGTTGGCGCAAAAAAGCCGCACGGACCTCCCAGCGAGGAGGCCTCTACACAGAATTCGCTGAACATGGTGGAGCTGCCCGCGCTGAAGAACTCCAAGTTTGCGGCGCGGCAGAAACTCAATCACCCAAATCCCGCGTCACTTGTGGGTCAATTTGTTTAACCACCAGGCAGGTTTTAGTCATGGGTTCCATTTACCAGGGTTCCACTTTGGGTACCCGTTTTTGACCCACAGCCACTTCAGTCTGGATTCTGCGTATCATCACACCAGTTTAGAATTCAACGACCAGTTGGCCTTCGCAGAACACATTTAAGGCTAAGAGACAAGTGTCGACGTAATTGAACTAACTTAGTCATAATGTATTTTTGTCGTTAGCAATCGAAAGTGAAACAGGTCAATGTCGCGACCCGAGCCGAGGTAACGCAGATGGCAGTAGATTCCGGTGTTCAAATTGTTGTAGTGTTGCCACGGGTGATGAATATGTTTGAGGGACTGCCCAACCCAGCTGTTGCAAGCGCACCAAATTCGGGATTGTTTGGAAATCGGTGGCATCTACCAGCTCAAAGAATATGTGATTTCGGTGGGCTTTCGGGGATTCCATGACTGTGAAACAAGTCCTCGATGATTCTGCACGACTTTCAAGAGGGTGCTCCCACATCGAGTGCTGACACTTTGCTTTTGAATGCTACCCCTAAACGGGTGTTCACTATCCCCGAGGGAAATATATACCGTACCCCTAAGCCAGTGTTCATGTAGTTGTGTATCCTCGTTCACTTGCAGCTACTGGTAGTGGTTTGGGGTAGTGGCGTTCCGCTGAGCCACAACCATCTCTGAATGATGTCGGGGGGTGTGACAAGAAGCCCTAGCTTGTTGCGGCGGGCATAGGTGCTGATGTTTGAGAGTCGAGTCTCATGTTTGACAGCACTCCAAGAGCTTCCAACAGACCTCCAGGTCCCGTGGCACAGTTGAGGCTGAGGCATTCTTGACCTTAGTCTGCAGGACTTGGACAACACGTTTCCCACCTGGAGATGAATGTGCCGAGTTGACAAGTCCAAGTCCCCAGGCCACCAACATCTCCCCCAAGGGTAGGGTCCAGCCCAATCCCGAGCCCCCGGATCCCCACATCGCGCGGTCCAGACCCCCTCCTCGAGCCCCTGAACTTGCACCCTTGCATCCCAACACCTAGGCCAACTCAACCCGCAGCCAACCCCTAAACCGATCCTACACCCCTAACCCCTGACCCTAACCCAACTTTAAATCAACCTAAACCAACCCTAAGCCAACCCAAAACCCACCCAAAACTAACCCTAGACCCACCGTAAAGCAACCCTAAACCAACCCTAAACTAACCCTATACCCACCCTAAGCCAACCCTAAACCAAACCTCAATCAGCCCTAAACCAACCCTAAGCCAACCCTAAACCCACCCTAAACCCACCCTAAGCCAACCCTAAACCAACAACCCTATACCCACCCTAAACCATCTCTAAACAAGCCCAAAAACCCCAACCCCACCCAACCACCCCAAACCCAACCCCCCCCCCCCCCCCCCCAACCCCACCACCAAAGGCAGGGGGGGGGTCCACGGCCTGGAACATCTATGTAGACAAGATTCCCACTTTGGGGACTTACCTTGGGATATGTTCCGTTTAGGTGGGTCTTTCGCTTCGCTGTTTTGGGAGTACGTGGTCTTTGCTTTTTGAGGTTTCCAAGCCGGGATTCGCTCATGGCTGCGCAATCCCATTTTCCTGACAACCCAGTTGTCCTCATCTGTTTTTCACGAGGTGGCTCGATGCGTGGGCGAACAAATCCTAGACCCTTAATGTCTTTATGCCTCCATCATTTGGGAGGAAAACATATTCTTTTCGGATTTGGCATGCCCTTTGGCAGCCCTCAAGCCGGAAGCACTTTCGTCTGCAGGGGGCTAAAGACTAGCCCGGGTGAATCGTCCACACGTATCCACACCCTTTTTCTTTCAGTTACGCTCCCCTTCAGACCTCGCGAGCGCTGGGAACTTTAAGTATGGAAGTTGGGGGGTCGTACCTCGAAGGAACCCTTGCCCATACACTGTGTTCAGTAGGGCGTGCAGTTGTGGGGAAAAGCTTTCTTGCGCATTTGTTGCTCATGTGCCACGAAAAATGCCACCGGGGACGGTAGGCAGTCTTGGTTTCAGACTGGCTGTTTGACACCCCTTGAGTTTGCAGGGTTGGCAGAAAACGGATTTAGTGAAACGGATGAAACGGAAAAAGTGCTTTGCTCTTTTGGGTCGGGGGGATTTTCCGGCCGCTTGCCATTTTAGGTGTCCAATGCGAAGGTGATGTACGTCAACTGGACCCAGGAGGACCTTAAGTTGAAACCCAAAACTTTAGAGTTTGCAGAATTCAAGCAGCGCATGTGTTCAGTGGTGGATTTGCATGTGTCTAAATCATAGTTGCAAAATATGGTTGCCAGAATCTGAAACACCGTAGTTGGGCAACAGCCGAGGTAGTTCTGCCCATCCCCGTGCCCCTCAGACCTTGAAACAGGCGGTTCCTTTTTTGCGGGGCTTGCTTTCTTCCGGGGTTCCTGTGCATTCCTTTTGGGAGGTAATCAGAGGTCAGTCAGCATGGAGCCACCAGTTGAGCATGGTTCGATGGGCAAACATCCTCATTTCTCGAAATCCTGGACCAAAACACTACCTTTATTGGGCCACATCCATTGAATCGTCAACGTTACCCTTGCATGGGCGTTTTAGAGGGGACACCCCCAAAGGAATTGTGAGAAGCCTGTCCAAGGGTTTCGTATGTTTGCCTAGCATCCACTTGGCAAATGAACCTCCCAACAGGTGATGTGTAAAATGGCTTAACCATGAACATTTAGGGAACTCGTATAAACTGCCCCTTGCAGGTTCTGAGGGGATGCCAAACAGACCAAGGTGACTCCCTGACTTCAAGCCCAGTTTTGCTGGGCTTGGCCTATGTTTACGCCGCTCCTTACCCGGGTCGGGCCGTATCGATTTTTTGGAAAGCCATTTTAGCGGAAAACGAAAGTTCTGACAAAACCTTTCCTCCTCAAGGCGGAGAAGGCTCAAAGCAAACAGGCCGTGGCGTCTTTTTTGGCCAATGCACTCAGGGAGCGAGAGACTCAAGCCTGAAACCCAGCCGAGAAAGAGCGTCTCTTGGCACGCTTTCACGCATCTTTCGGAAAAGGTGTAAGCATCATGTACTCACAAAAAAGAAAGAAAGAAGAGAACCATGTCTCCCCCATCCGCGTTTTGTGTTTTCGGAGGGGATTTGGGGGGGTGATCCTGCGAGGAGAAGTCCATTCCCAAGGCCTTGGAGGAGACGTTCCCCGATGGTCATGGCTGGATCCCCACCAGGCAGGGGGGGGGAAGACAGGGGGGACCACTGGCATGCCAGGGATTTGTTGGTGGCTTTTGCGGGTCGTTTGCCCCAGCCACAAGTGGTTTTTGCTTGTTTGTCTTGTTTGTTTGAGGGGGGTTTTCGTTTTCTACCTGACTAATTGCCAAGGCAAAGTTGTTTTCCTTGTTTTTCTTTTGTTTGAGGGGGGTTTTCGTTTTCAACCTGACTAATTGCTAAGGCAAGGTTGTTTTTGCTTGTTTGTCTTGTTTGTTTGAGGGGGGTTTTCGTTTTCAACCTGACTAATTGCCAAGGCAAAGTTGTTTTCCTTGTTTTTCTTTTGTTTGAGGGGGGTTTTCGTTTTCAACCTGACTAATTGCTAAGGCAAGGTTGTTTTTGCTTGTTTGTCTTGTTTGTTTTGAGGGTTTTCGTTTTCTACCTGACTAATTGCCAAGGCAAAGTTGTTTTCCTTGTTTTCTTTTGTTTGAGGGGGGTTTTCGTTTTCAACCTGACTAATTGCTAAGGCAAGGTTGTTTTTGCTTGTTTGTCTTGTTTGTTTGAGGGGGTTTTCGTTTTCTACCTGACTAATTGCCAAGGCAAAGTTGTTTTCCTTGTTTTTCTTTTGTTTGAGGGGGGTTTTCGTTGTCAACCTGACTAATTGCTAAGGCAAGGTTGTTTTTGCTTGTGTGTCTTGTTTGTTTGAGGGGGGTTTTCGTTTTCTACCTGACTAATTGCCAAGGCAAAGTTGTTTTCCTTGTTTTTCTTTTGTTTGAGGGGGGTTTTCGTTTTCAACCTGACTAATTGCTAAGGCAAGGTTGTTTTTGCTTGTTTGTCTTGTTTGTTTGAGGGGGGTTTTCGTTTTCTACCTGACTAATTGCCAAGGCAAAGTTGTTTTCCTTGTTTTTCTTTTGTTTGAGGGGGGTTTTCGTTTTCAACCTGACTACTTGCTAAGGCAAGGTTGTTTTTGCTTGTTTGTCTTGTTTGTTTGAGGGGGGTTTTCGTTTTCTGACTAATTGCCAAGGCAAAGTTGTTTTCCTTGTTTTTCTTTTGTTTGAGGGGTTCGTTTTCAACTGACTAATTGCTAAGACAAGGTTGTTTTTGCTTGTTTGTCTTGTTTGTTTTGAGGGTTTTCGTTTTCTACCTGACCCCTAATTGCCAAGGCAAAGATGTTTTCCTTGTTTTTCTTTTGTTTGAGGGGGTTTTCGTTTTCAACCTGACTAATTGCTAAAGGCAA